ACACATGCACAATAAATATAAAGCTCTTGTTGGCGCCAATTGAACACCTGTGTCTCAATCTGTCATTGTCGATCATGAATTTGGTTGACACTTCTATTATAGAGAAAGGGCGAATGGCAATATTAAAATATTTCTTCTAATTAATTTCCTTTCAATGTGCACGAATCTGTGCATTGGAACACTAGTGTTACTATAAAAGGTTTAATAATAAAAGTTTCAGATTCTCCTTTGCAAGCCTTTCAGGCATGAATTTCTTACCTCTGCTCCCACAAGGAGGAGGAAGAAAAGGTTAGCAGAGAGAAACAAGCCCTTGAATTGAGTTTCTGTGAAAACTATCTTTTGAAACTCCTTATCACAGTCATATTAACTTGAAATTAAAATGGCTTTTATATCTTATTGTAGTTTTATAGATACATGTGTGGGAAACATTAATTTTCACACACTGGATGAATTTACAAGCATACATTTTTATAGTGGGAAGGACATTCATCTCGAGGATGAAAAAGTATGATGGCTTGTTCATTTTTCACTTGCAGTCCAGTGACTGCTTACATCATTGCAGCGGCAGGAGGCCTGCGACCTGACCTAGCAGTTGGGCATTCCCAGGGGTGTACATCTTAATTGGAAATGAGTCACCACTTTATATTTTGCCATTGATTAGACAATGAGCTTTTCTTCTGTGGCTGTCAAAGGCCTTTACATCTCTGTTGATAGCAGCATCTTAAATTAAAAAACAAAACACAAACCAAGACAAAAATATGTTATATCCATGGGGGCAGCTGATTCATTGTCCTGGTTTCATTACATAATATTTTAAAACTTTCTTCTAAAGAGTGAATGCTGTATCATTCTTGAGAAAGAGCATATCTTACAATGAGAAAAAATTTTATTCTGCAAATATCACAGAACAAAAAATCACACCTACAGCCCAGCCCATCTGATAGGATAAATTGTGTTAAGATACATTGAGTAGTAATGCTAATGATTTTCCTGGTGGGAAGTATACCTTGTAGATATGACATGAGCCATGTTGAGGAACTGAAGGAATCAGTTTGGGCATATTTTTATACATTTTAAAAATAAATGAACTCTTAGCACTTTACTTTTTAGTCCTTTTACATTTATATAGAGCATCAGTAAAGCACAGAGCTTCTGTCTGATCATGCATTCATTTTAGAATTTATGCTTTGTATTGTTATAAAAGGTCAGAAAACAAATATACTACTTTAAGCTAAATAATGTTATTTAACATGATGCCCTTTATTTATAGTACTCATGGAATCTTGCTGCTTGAAAAGTAAAGATACTATTTCTTTTTCCTCAGAAACGTGCTAAGGGACAAGTATTATTTGACAAAGTGTGTGAACATCTCAACCTCTTGGAGAAGGACTACTTTGGACTTTCGTTTCAGGAAAGCCCTGAGCAGAAAGTAAGTGAAATTTCAGGTTTTTCTATATTGTCTTAGAAAAATACTGTAATTTTTTTAATTAGTGTAAAATTTAGCTTTAAAACAACATGTTTTTATTATGACACTAGAGGCCCGGTGCACGAAATTCGTGCACGGGGTAGGGGTGTCCCTCAGCCCGAGCTGCCCCCTCTCATAGTCCGGGAGCCCTCAGGGGTGGGAGGCGACCAGTGATCAGGGGAAAGGATGCTCCCATCACACCTCTGCTGCAAGCCTCAGAGGGCTCTGGTTACCTGTGCCTCAGGCCGGGAGTGTGGCAATCAATTAGCATATTCCCTTCTTATTGACCCTATGGAGGTGTCTGCCTGACATCAGAAATGTGTAGAGATTGTTTCTGCTCCAGGAATTTCCCAAGATACTAAGTAGGAGCATAAGAGTTCTATAATGACTCATGCTAATTCGAGGAACTTAAGGGCTTTTCAGTTACATAGGTAAATTAAAGAGAGAAAAATTAACCAGTCCTGACAATTCACAGACTTAACCTGTAGACTTTTGTCTTAGTTAGTTCCGCCTTTTCTAACAAAGTACCTGATGGCTTATAAAGAACAGACATGTACATCTTATAGCTTAGGGGGCTGGGAAGTTCAAGATCAATGTGCCAGCAGATTCGGTGTCTGGTGAGGGCCCACTTCCTGGTTCATACAGTGCCTTCTTGTGTCCTCAGATGGTGGATGAGTCAGGGTGTTCTCCGAAGCCTCCTTTATATAATCCCATTCATGGGGATTCTTCCTCCATGATCTATCAACTCCAAAGGCCCCATTTCCAGATACTCTCTCATTGAGGATTAGGTTTCAATATATGAATTTGGGGGGTGGGGTACAAACATTCAGCCTCTAACACTTTCCTCATTGTTAAGAAAGGACTTTATCTCTTAGTATGTCACTTTCTCAGTCTTAGGACTTAGGTCTGGTGAAGCTATTGGGTGTAGAAGAGTAAAGGTTTGGTCCAAGGTTGCACCCTAAAGTGAAGCCCTTTTAAGTCTGTAGATGGTGGCTGTGGACAGACACACTATGAACATTCTGACTGAGGATGCCCAGAGCACTTTGTCCCAGTGAAAGGAGCTCCTTTCTAATATGGAACATTCACATCACAGTCAATAGAACAGAACAGTTAGGAGATGAATATAGGCTATAACTTCTATTTACCCACATGCCATCATTGTTTGTATTTATATGTCCTGGTAATGAAATACAGGATATAAGGATGATAATTATATATGCATTAAATTTTCTTGTTTAGTTTTAAATCCTTGATACTTAATTTGTGGCTTAATTCCACATTTAAAGAAAAGACAATTAAATTGCATGCCTGCTTGCTGAATAGTATGTGGGTGTTCTTATTAGACCTCTATTTAGAATATTTTTCTCAGAAGTAATAACATATTAGACATTTGACTAAATAAACTAGGCCCTCTTCTTAGGCTTTACATTATAAGCTGGTTTTGATAATGTTTCCAATCATGCCCTTCTGTTGGCCCTCAAAGCTACAAAAGAGAGAGTGATGGAAACTTGGCTATCATTGTCCACTCTTTTGAAGCAGGCCCTCACCAAATACTGAATCTGCCAGCACCAGGAGGGGCAGAATACTAAAAACAAGTAAGTGGATTGCTGTTGACAGTCCTGTGGAGATTGTAGATTTTACAATTGTGATGGCAAAATAATATATATATTGGTGTTTTTCTCTAATTGCCACCTGCAACCTAGGTATGATAGTGGAGAAATGGAGTATTAAAGGGGTTCCCACCTGGCTGGTATGGCTTAGTGGTTGAGCATTGGCCCATGAGCCAAGAGGTCCTGGGTTTGATTCCCAGTCAGGGTACAGGCCTGAGTTTTGGACTCAATCCCTGGTGGGGGGTGGTCGTGCAGAAGGCAGCCGATCAATGTGTCTCTCTCAGCAGTGTTTCTATTGCTCTATCCCTCTCCCTTTCTCTCTAAAATCAATAAAAAATATATTAAAAATTATTTTATTTTTAAAGTGGTTCCAAGTTGGCTATGTTCATGGGGGTTATGGTAAGAAGACAAAAGATTTAGAAAACTGGAGATACTGATGAGAGAGTAATCAAGCTGATTATTCACAGGGTCAGGGAGGAACATAACTGAAGCTGAAATGGGCTGATAGGCTGGGAGAATTGGCTAGGGCCAAGGGATGAAAGACCAAAGAAGTTAAAGAGGAGGTACAGTGGGAATAAATGGGTAGAAAACTTAAAAGGAGAGGGGATAATTGCACCTGAGAACGGGATGATGAAGCCTAATGAAGTGGAGAGCTTTGTGTGATGACAAGACCAAGTGTTGAGTCATGAAAAGGATGGCTGAAGTGAAGAAGTTAAGGTCATCAAGGCAGAGAATATTAAGATATGGTTAAGCTTGGAGGTGTTCACCATAGTATTCTCATTAACAAAAAAATGCTAATGCTAAATAAGGATCATAATTCCTTGTTTACTTTGGAGTTTCTCTTATGAAATGGGAGATGAAAATGCTCACACATTTAGTCATGCACTTTGTTATCTAGGCTTTTAGAGTATTGGGAGAATAAACAGTGGGGTGACCTGTCTGAAATATTCACTTTTTAGAAAATTAATGTGTAAATGTAATTGGCAATATATTTAATTATTCATATATGACCTGTTTGTTTTTATAATTTTTGTATTGTATAATTTTGTTGTTGTTGCTGTGTGTTTGTTTTAATCCTCACCTGAGAATATTTCTTCTGTTGATTTTTAGAGATAATGGGAGGGAGTGAGTCAGAGGGAGGGAGGAAGAGAAAAAAAGAGAGAAACATCGATTTGAGAGACACATCCATTGGCTGCCTTCCATAGATGCCCCAACCCGGGTGGAAGGTCGAACCTGCAACCCAGGTACTTGCTTTTGACCAGAAATTGAACCCGAGACACTTTGGTTTGAGGGCCCATGCTCTAATCACTGAGCAACACTGGCCAGGGCAAGTATTGTATAATTTTTCTATTCCTTCTTGCTTGTGTAGATAAAATTCAGTCCTTAAGACATCTAGGCAAAAGTACTCTTATTTTTCAAATATAGATTTGTATTGTATCCTGTTTTCCTCAGAAAATTATTACCATTGTAACAACTCAGTTCAGTCCAATTTTCTTTGAAACGCATGCTGTTTCAACAATAGGATACTATAGGATACAGGAATTTAAACTGCTTTCTTTTTCATACTGAATAACATCTGTATTTATAGAAACTTCAGTCACTTGCCATTTCACCTTTTTGTAAAGTAAAGGTGAGGGTAAAGCCATGGTTATTTGTGTGAAAAGTTTCCATGGAGAGAAAAATCTTAACTTTCTTTTGATTTAGTGTAGTACTGTGTTGGGTCTTTCATGGTTGAGACCTTGGGTTGGAAGCCTTTCAATTTACTCTAAGTTTGAAAATCTATCATTATTTGTGTTAGAACTTTTTCATTTCTTTTGAGAACTCTTGTGTAAACTTTACTATGGAAAATGTCATTAAAAATATGTGGAATCAAGCACTTTGTTACTGCTCATTTATATATGAAATTCCAAGTCCATGAAGTTCTTGTATTCATTTCTACATAGAACCATCAATAAGAAATTTGGATTTTCTTTAAAGGGGAAAAATACTATCTTGAATTTTTATGTTAATTAGGTTTGGCATCTGGCCCTGGATTATGATGTCATTTTGCTTCAAGCCATATTGAAAGAGGAGTTTATTAGAAGCGTAGTTGATATCCACAGCTAACTTTATGAAAATTGATTAAAGTGTTTGCCTCATAGCCAGGCTATTTTCCCCCAGAAACTAGAACTAAAAACTCAAATATTAACCTTTTTTTTGGTCAGATATAAACTATTTAGTAAAAATCTTTATTCAATCCAGTTACACCTTATAACACCACAGACAAAAGTTGAGTCACATTCTCCCAGATGCATAGTGAATGATTCACTGTAATATAGGAAGCCTGTAACTTTTCTGCTTACCAACAGTATTGGGTAATGTTCTCTTAGATCTCCTTGAGGCAAAGGTATAATAAAGGGGATCTGCTTTGGTACTATAACTTCTTAAGGGGAGATGCAAAATTACTCTTACACTTTTAACATTTGGTATTACAGTGTGAGTTGGGTTAAATTTTATTTCTCTCACCTGGCCAAATTGACAAGCACCAAACGTAAGTGAGGAAGACACGGCTAGGCATTTTGAAGACTTCTAACTTGGGGATGTCAGCATCCAGTCTGAAGGAGATTTAGAGGATAGTTTCTTGAGTTGTTATCTAGGTCTAGTGTGGTGAGTGGCCCTGGACAGGCAGCTGCACACTCACACTGCTAATGGGCCTCTGATAGGGAGGAGTTCAGAGAAACACTTAGATGTGGGAACACAGAAGCAGTGACATGCTAGGGCTTTCTGCAGGAAGCTGTCAACAATTAGAATATATAGCCAGTGAAGGCTGGGCATCTACCTGACAAGACAGGCAAAGCTATTTTCTCCCTACCTCCCCGTCCATCCAACCCCGCCCCCCCACCCCACCCCCAGGTCCTCAGGACACTATTGTCTATGTCCATGGGCTATATATGCATATAAGTTCTTTAGTTAATCCCCCCTCCCCCCAGAAGGGATATATACCAAAATTCGATGTCAATTTAATTTTATCATTGCAGAAAGAACTTATCTGTTAAGGACATTGGGCAAAGTACTTGGTCTTCAGGAAAAGAACTATCCTATGAGGTAGATGTTACAATCCTCATCTTGCACTTGAGGAAATTGAAGCTTAAAGAAGCCAAGGAATAAGCCCAAGTTCACACAGAAGTTGGTGGAAAGACAGAATTTGACTCCCATGTATTTCTGATTCCAAAGTCTATAAATGTGACAGCCAAATCTTTAAAAAATGAGAATGATGCATCATAATCTGTAACAGCCGTTCTCAACCTGTGGGTCGAGACCTCTTTGGGGGTTGAACGACTCTTTCACAGGGGTCGCCTAAGACCACCGGAAAACACATATATAATTACATATTGTTTTTATGATTAATCACTATGCTTTAATTATGTTCAATTTATAACAATGAAATTACATCCTGCATATCAGATATTTACATTACGATTCATAGTAGTAGCAAAATTACAGTTATGAAGTAGCAACGAAAATAATTTTATGGTTGGCGGTCACCACAACATGAGGAACTGTATTAAAGGATTGCTGCATTAGGAAGGTTGAGAACCACTGATCTATAATGATGTGTGTACATTTGTGTCATTCACTTTTTCCACCTTTTTGTGTCTGCTTCTTGATCCACCCAGCCTCCTCCTCATGTGTCAAAACCAAGAAGTTTATTATTTATTTGTTAAAGAATTCTATGTCTATTAAATAGACTTGTATTTCTTTCAAAAGTCATATTAAGTCATTTTTGTTTTTTTACTTATGAGTTTTATTCCTAGGCCATAAAATTATATCCCACTCATAATCTAAGTATTCATTGGATTTCATTATTTAAATAAAAATAAATTGATGAAATAATAGAATCTGTGGTCTTTTAAAATGACCACAACATTGGGAGGGTGGTGGTAGGAAGCAAGCAATGGGCAGATGTTAATTAACATCTAGTAACTACTGGTTGCTTAAAACTGTGTTACGGAGGATACAAGTAATATGGTCTGTCCTGACCCTTGCTAAGTTGTACTGGGGACAACTTGGTGGGAATGGAGCTTATAGTATGGAAGTGAGTGTGCTTAGCAAAGGGGATACCTGTTTAGCAAAGGGATAGGTGAATGAATGTAAGGGATCACTTCTGCTGCTCATACTTGATCACATAAGGTAAACTCTGCCCACTTAGTTTTTAGATAGGGGTCTTAATAATGTGGCTGGCAATGTTGTGGAAGGTGGCCTGAGAATGACACCAAGTCTGACTTTGGCTGGCTGGTGCATAGAAACTTGTCTCTCGTGGTCTAGTCTACAGACCTCTATGACTCCATGCTGTGCAGAAGCTGTCAGGTAATTCATACAAGGGGTTGGTCTTCTGGTGAGAAGGGAAGTTGCCAAGTGGCTGGGACATTAAGTTATTCTGGGGGGTCACAGAAGATGATGTTGCTTCTATCATCTTCCTCCTCGAACAGAGAGGCTTTTTTTCCTTTCTCTTCGGTAGCAAAGCATCTAGATCACCTGTCACCTAGTGAAGGAGGAGGTGTAGGAGGAACTCTCTCAGTCTTTACATAGTTTCCCCTCCACTCTCTTTCTCTGTGTTAATGTTCTAAAGGATTTTTTTTTTTCTTTTTGGCACTAGGCGACTCTGGTTCATTTTTTATTTTTTTGCTGTAGTTGTTACTTCCTTGGATGAAATGCCCCAACACATTTGATCTTTCTTTGCCCCTCCCCCAGTCTCTCCTCTGTCTGGGCTAGAGACTGAATGATGTGTTTTTCTCATTTTTGCACTCATCATAGCCGGCCATTTGTGAGCCAGCTGTCGTTGGTATAGCAGCTGCAGGCCAAGGAGACTGATTGCTAGGCTCTTTTCTAAGAGGAGAATTAGAGCTTTCCTCAGTGTCACACTGGAGGTACCATTAGAGGTTTCCACTGGTCCTTCTCATATTGGGCCACGCAGCTGGGACGTCAGTGATATGAAACTAGACCAAGCTCTGGTAGTTTTTTATTGAGAGGATTGAATATAACCAGTGTTAGGACAGAACCATGCACACCTTGGCTGGGTCCTTGCTGCCCTGAGCGCAAGCTGTGACAGGTGTAGTGAAACCCACAGGGGTCTGTGCAGCTTTGCTTTCAAAGCATCCTGTTGTTACTACTTTCTTATTTTGTAAGTTAATGTCTGTTGTACTAATTCAATATCTTGTTGAGACAGTAGGCTATTATTTTCTACATAATAAACATTTTAATTGTTTGCTTTATGTGTCTAAATAAAATTCTGTTTAAATACAGGTATTATTTGGGGTACTTACAGAATGAATGAAACTTATTATACAGCCAATTATTTGAATTCGATTACTGTATCTCAAAAAATGTACTTGTTCTCTTGTGTTAATGAAGATAAAGTAACTCTAACAATGACTTGTGGATAAGGTGGGAGAAGTATAAAAAATAAAAACGCATAAATTTTTTTAGATGGATCTTTTGCTTATAGCTTTGAAAAACAAATATTTAATGTCCTTAGGCTGCTTGAACTCAGTAGTTCAAGTTTGGTCTTTTCTGCTTTAAGATGTTATAATGGTTTCCTAGAATCTTTTTATGTTAACTTTCTCAAAGGGAAGTAGTAAGTGGAAAGAGAAACAGAGTTTTTTTATGATTATGACTCCCAACTTGGAATGAAGTTTAAACAGGATGTTACACGAAGATCAGGAAGGAAAGTTTCCACTCCAGTTTGACAGTATTCTCCATAGCATTACATAGTTGCAGGGAAAGACAAAGTTTAAGGAGGAGGAGGAGTTGGCTTTAGGAGTTGAGATAATTGTGTTTGATCGTAGTATATATACTCTTAACTAATAGTTCCCAATTCACATTTTATTCTTCATGAGCTGGAGCCAGTTGTTGAGCTCTCATTCCAGTGTCCACAGGGACTGTTTCCTGGAAGTTTAAAGACTAAAGACTGTGTGTGTCTAACCACTATACTGTACACTGGAAACTAATACAAAATAATACTGAGTGTAAACTGTAATTTAGAAATAAAAGAAAAAGACTGTATGTAGATATCTCATCATTAGGATAGGTGTTTGATTTCATATCTCATAAAATGAAGCCCAAGAGACTCACCTTAAAAGTGTTGTAATATTTTATTTATAACATATTTAAATATTAGTCAGTACTTACTCCAGTGGAATGCTAATAGGTGGAAGCTACTTCTAATAGGACTTTATTAAAATACTAGAGGCCCGGTGCACGGAAATTTGTGCACTGGGGAGGGGGGCGGTCCTTCAGCCCGGCCTGCGCCATCTCACAGTCCGGGAGTCCTCAGGGGATGTCCTACTGGGAGCGGGCCTAAGCTGCAGTCTGGCCTCCCTCTGCGGGAGGTGACCCGGCTGGCCGATCAGGGGATGGCACTGCCCCCATCACCCTGCCACTGCCGCCCGGCTTCCTTCTGTGGGAGGCGACCGGACAGGCCAATCAGGGGACAGTGCCGGCTGCCCCCATTGCTCCTCTGCCACCACTGGTTGCCCCCCAATCGCTGTTCCCTCCCTCTGCCCGCTGGCACGCACCTTGGCCGGCCTGGTGCCGCCTGCTCACCGGCC